GAGGAAGCTCATGAGGAAGACAGGGTAAAAGTATCACAGTGCCTTCAGAAACTAGTGGAAGTTCAAAGGGGCTGGAGCACAGAGTGTAGGGGAAGAGTATGAATAGAAGGGGATGGAGATTTGAAGACTGCAGTGGGCCCAATCATGAAAAGCCATGAGCACTATGTTCAGAAGCCTAGACTCTCAAGGGTAATGAGAAAGGAAAATCAGGGTGTGACATGATGACCTTGATAGCTTCTTGGAGAATAACACTGGAAGAGCTGACCACATCTAATGCTTGTTAGTCTATGCTGAATGCTCTACAAGCATTAGCTCACTTAATCTTCACCCCATGAGGTAGGTTCTAATTTTTTTTTTCTCTGTAGTCCTAGGGATTGAACCCAGAGCCTCTGCAGTGAGCAACATGAACTGCCTATTTTTGTATTTTTAATTTTGAGACAGGATCTCATTAAGCGGATAAATTGCCCAGGTTGGGTTTGATCTTGCAGTCTTCCCGTTTCAGCCTCCTAGAGTGCTGGAATTATGAGTGCACCACTATATCTGACTGTGATCCACACTTAGAAGAGAGGTAGTGAGAGACAATCACATGTTCTAGTATGAAACCAGGCCCCCTACCTTGAAGAACAATAAAGTGACCGATGAGAAGTGAGTAGATTTGAAAACTAGAGCTTGATATTTTTGGAGATTGGCTGGAAATAGGAAAGGCAAAATAGTGAATTATGACCTTCTCATCCTAGTTTGAATTTGAATTGTACTCCCTACTAGCTGGTTGCCTTTTCATTTTTTGGTGCAAATAATCACCCTCACTGTACAGTGGCTTCATTTCATAAGGGGCTTGAGGTGGCTTACAAGAAAAACTCTGAATAATGATAAAAGAACAAAAACTATAGAAGAGGCCCGAGGCCTCACCTGCTGTGGTCTGTGTATAGTGTTTCATGAGTTTTCGAGTCTTTATTGGTATGCTCTGGCCTCCATTCCACATGCCCAGGTTTTTGTATTCCTTTCTCACACAGAGTCTTGGTTTCCATATTCTGTCCTCATTCTTGTACTCCAAGTCATCATCCCATAATGCCATAATTTTGCCCCACCTCAAATTCTTCCCATCCAACAAAAGTACACTTTTAGTTATATAGGTGTTGCTTTATTTTTTTTTTATTTTTTTTTTATAGGTGTTGCTTTAACTTGATCTTAACTATCCAGCAGAAAAGTATAACCATGAGGTATAAAAAGTAAATCCATATTAATATGCTGAGCTGTAAAAGGCTTAAGTCAACAACTTCAGACAATTGCCAGTTCTGCTGATAACCCACTACTATTATGGACTATTGGACTATATTGGGTTATTTTGCTGAATTCAAACACCTACATTTGAATGGCAACAGAGCACCCATCTCTGACAAAACAAAATAAAAAAGGGGGATATAAATGAAGGGCCATTTTGTAGTGAAAAAAGGTATCTGTATATACAAAATAGTTAGGATAGATATATAGCTACTTTCTCTTAGTTCAATGAGAAGAAAGATTTGTGCTAATAGTGTTTAGACAAGATACCATGTCTGCATCTTGTACTCTGAATAACTACTATGAAGATAATATGCAATGTATTATTATAACTGACCTACTAACCTGTTTTGAAACATTGCTATTTGTTTCTCATTAAAATTACTAAAAAATAAATGAATTTTAAAAAAATTTCTTCCAATCCCTGGCTTTTTCTCTCGTTTGTTGTAATTCTCAATTTTGCCTCTCCAAAGAACCTTTGTTGATTATTTTCATGCATTCCAAGTTGGAAGATGATTTACCAAAGCACATATGTATACTTATCTGTCCTTATTAAGAACATATTTATGTGTTTTGAGTATAGATATGTCAGGCAATTGGAGATGATCCCTGAACAATAACTAACTTGAATCAGTCCTTATACAGTAAAGTTCCAGGTCAAAGTGAAGAAGCAATATCACAGGTGTCCTAGGAAGCTTTCATCTATAATGAGGTAGGGTTTCCCTTAGGCTTTCTGAAATAATAAAAATTGTTCATGGATTTCTAGTAATACCTTTTGGGCCTCTTAAGAGATTAAGAGATTCTCAGGGCTTTGGTTATAAACTAAGGGATTTCAATTAAGTGCAGTTTTTCCCCACCCCCAAACTTTCCTATAGACAGCTCAGACTCATCCACATTTTAGGTCAAATCTTCCTTTTCTGCTTCTTTCTCTTCCTCCTCCTCCCATTAAAGTCTAACTAAATTCAGCTCAGAAATCGCTATCTGAAAGCTATAACATTTGTAGCCTCCTACCAGCCCTTGGAATATTTACTGATGGCTCTTGCTTTATTGCTGTGAAAATTTTTAGTTTGAAGCAGTAAGCATACTGAATTCTATTCGGTATGTAAGTTCACTGAGTGATAATAAAAATAATCATAATGACAGTTACTATTAGTGGAACTCCTACTTGTATCTCTCAGATACTACACCTAGGCCCTGTGCATATATTATCTCATTGTATTTTTCCCTACAAACATCCTATGAGAGGTATGCATAATCATTTTCATTTTATATATGAAGAAATTTACATTTACTGTAATTAATACTTTACCTGAAATCATTCAGATAGGAAGCAATGCAACTGAGATTTGTATTAAGGTTCTGCTTGGTTGTAGAGTTCATGTTACTTATTTTTTCAGTATGGTCAACATGATCTAACAGAATGGTGGGCTGGCAGTGGGGGGATATTCCACTGATCCACAGCAGAGGAGACTTGGGGACCAGCCTTGGGATTTGGTGGGATGTGGACAAAGTAGTTTGCTGTCACACTGGCAACATATGCTGTAGAGATTGTTCTATTGGATTCCAAGTACCAAATGACTGATGTATTTTTACTGTACTAGAATAGCAACGACTTCCTCCCCTAAGTTGAAAGGAGGCCTCATCCTCACTTGGATTGTTTTTCTTTCTTCAGAAGAGTTCTTCACTAGGGCTATAAAAGCTTCTATTACTTGGAGAAGACAATCACATTGGAGGTGTACTTCTTTATTCTAGGGATTACTTTAGCCTGCCTTTACTTGGCCTCTGCTTCTGCTAATAGAGAGAAGGTCTAGTGATGACATTCAATCCTCCACCACACCACCTATCTCCTCCACATCAACCCTCACCCTTCCACCATATAATCTATACAACCTGTACACAACCTGTAAAGCCTCTGAGGAGCCAACATGGTGCATTTTTGCTCAGCTTTACTCAAGGGGTCTGTGAAGGCTCACTCCTAAGCAATGGTGGTAGAGTTAAGGTTTTTAAAAATGCTGCTCCTAAAGTAAACACCAGATCAAGTCAGGTCATGTGTGCCACTGGGGGATACAAGGCTAGCAGCCAGACTTATGACTGACAGGCTATGGGAGCCCAGATAATCACTTTTCTCTGAATTCTTTTCACCTGTAAAAGAAAGTGATGAATTATATGGGTACTTAAGTGCAGTCCAGGTATGGACTCTCGAATACGATAGATTCAGAATTGGGCAGGTAAAAAACATTGGCATATAATCTAGGTTTATATGTTCCCCTCCAAAATTCAGGCATGACTGAATGAAGTGGGGCTTAAAGGCGTGATTAAATACTTTCCAAACACAGAAAAAGTTCCTTGTCCCTTAATGGTTAGGGCCTTTATAAAAGTCTTCACAAAGCATTTGGTCACCTTGCTAGCTTGCTTTTAAGACATGCAAGGACTCAATGTTCTGCCTCTTAGAAGGATGCAGTCTCACCAGACCACACAAGCTACTACTTCCTTGATTCTAGACTTCCCAGTTTCCAGAACTATACAAAACAAGGGTTTGTGCTCTTCATAATTTACCAGGACCAGGTATTTTATTGGAGTAGCTCAAATGGATTAAGATAAGGTGCTTACCCAATTCTAAGTGTGTGTATGTAGCAGAGGTGACAGGGAGAGAAAAAATAGTTAGGATACCAAAGCCTGAGAGATTACAAGGACCACTCCAAACAGAACAATGGAATCCCACAGGCTGAGAAACTGTTGCTTAAAAAGAAACGCAAGAGACAATGTAAGTGGTCACCAATCTATCAAGCTGGTTCTATACCTGCTACCTCATTTATCCTTGTAGGATGAGGACAAACCCATTCATCTCTACCTTTGTCTGTAGACTAGTGGTAACATTATGACAGTTGGGGCAAACTTTGCCTATTTTATTATAGCTTGACAGCAGGATGAGTAATGATTCTGCATTTGCTACCTCTGCCTCTGAAATAAAGTCTCCTTATTAGGACAGAGGTACCACCATGGTGTGACCTCAGAACTACCCTTTTTAGGCACTCAAGTCCACATCTGTATTTTTTTTTTAGCATCTAAAGCCAAGTAGGCAGGACTGTGCCTCCTGTCTGTAGTGCTGTGCTGAGCAGCTATGAGGGTAAGTATACAGAAAGAATTCAGAGGTGTCATAGACTTAATCTTTTATTCTGGCAGCTACAGAACCTAGAAGCTACAGGAGGCTTGGTGTCTATTTGATGTGAAAAAGCTACAGCCATCCCAGGAAAACCAACTAGGATGTGGCACACTATTTTGTTTCTCCTTGTTGACCACAATTTCTTGCTTTAACAAGTACTGAGGAAAGTAGTATTTTGATAACCCAGACCTCTTGCTTTTAAGCTATGCCCCACTGATCAGTAAGGAATATTCAAGGGACAATTCAATTTCTTTTCTTTTTTTAATGTATTTAGTACAGGGTCTACAGGGTCTCACTACACAAATCAGGCTCATTGTGATCCTCCTATTTTCAACCTCTCAAGCGCTGGGATTACAGGCATGTGTCATCATACCCCATCTCAATTGATGTATCAGTGTGCCCTGGAAGCAGGGCTGGCATGGCATACTGGGCATCGAACCCCGGTCCCAGGTTTACTCTGCTGAGCTGTCTGGCAAGGGGATAATTCAATTTCAAAACTACATGGGGAAAATAACCATAGAGATAATTTATTAATTTAAAATTTCATACATGTATAAATATTTACCCACATTAAAAATCAGACTAAATCAGAGCCTCTACCTCCCTCAGCAGATTGTATTAGCTTTGCTCTTGAGGAGTCTCTACTTCCCATGGTCTGTGGTCAGCACATCTTCAGGATGCTTCTTGATGTTGGAAGGAGGGACAAGTGAAAAGAATGGCTCTGCAGGAGGAAAAAGTCCCTCTGTCCTTATGACGTTGGGATGCTCTGGATAAACCCCACTCTGAGTTCAGGACTGGATAAACACAAGTGTGTATCCAGCAAGAGTGATGTCATCACAAAGTTTTCTTTGATCAACTTTGATTTTTAAAGTCATATGCCTTGGGCTTTACTTAGGAGAGTTTCTTTCTTTTTTTTTTAAGGTACCAGGGATCTAACTTGGGACCTTGCACATGCCAGTCAGCCGCTTATGCCACTGAGCTGTCGCCTAGGCCCTACTTAGGGAGTTTCAATGGACAGACTCTGTTGCATTTCACAAGCATTTCACAAGTACTGATTTGTTTTTTTCCTACAGGGTGAATAACGCTGCAGCATTACCTGTGGCACCCTCAACAGATGTCCAGTCTTGCTCTGGATAAGCCATCAAGGGGCCAAGTAAGCAAATCCCAACCAGATGCTGTTGGAAGCACTTAACTCCTTTCTTTGTAACCACATTCAGCTTCCAGGCTCTGAAACAATATATATACTTCAAAGTAAATTTCATACAGATTAAATGTTAATATTATTCAACTAATAGTGAAGATACTAGATTATGTACAAATTCACCTCCAATTGCCCTCACACCAACATGATCATAGTGTCTACAGGACAGAGAAGGCAACCAGTGGGGCAGTATGGCACACGAGAACTGTGGTGACTGACACTCTGTTGACTGAAATTCTTCTTTTCTCCTCTAAACTGCCCATTCCAGGAGATCAAGAAGTAAACTCTATTTGCTGGCATGTAAAGGCTCCCAGAGCCTTTAGTTTTTGGCTTCTGTTTATGATTCTTATAAAGGCAGATAGGCTCTTAAAGAAATGATAATCTTTGTCTTGATTCTTCTGGATCCTTTCCCTCCAGAGAGCAGGAAGGATACTGGTGTCCAGAATGAGTGTCTACAGTTATGGCTGGTCTATGGTAGAAAGGCACACTTGAGCTGGTGGTGACACATGGGCAACTCTGGAAATCTACTTTTGAGAAACTGGCTGAGGGTTCTCAGTCTGCAGACATTTCTGCCACACCAATGAAAACACAGGAGTCCAAAGGCAAAATGAGATGAAACAGATCTGGTTACTTTCACAGGGTACAAACTTTAAAAGGAAACTATAACCTGTGATGATTTTCAAGTTTTCAAGGGGTGATTACAACTAATTAGTCTTGGCTTTGTATTTACTCAGATTAAGAATATGATATTAAAAACTATTTTTCTCTCTTCCAAAATATAAAGACTCAAACAAAGGAAGCCTGGGTAGAGCAACAGGTCCAGGTTCCATCTGAAAAGATGAGATTTAGATCTTGGACAAGAAAAAAAGGGCGCTCAGTATGGCTTTCCTCCATAGAGTGTATGCCAGGGCCTAGCCAGCACAGTGCCTCTCACCTTCATAGAGAGGACAGAGGAATGGACTGAGTCCCTCCTGTGACATCTCCCCAGATACAGCCATGGAACTTCAAGAGTACATGTGCTCAAAGGTGAACAGATACTACCTACAGCTTGCTTTTATTCATTCTTAGAAAATGGAGATATGATCACCTAAAAATTGGCAGGGAAAATGTCTTGGGCTTACCTCTCCAGTGATCATTCCCATAGGATTTAATGGTGCTTGTTCCCCAGGATTTGTCTGGTCCTTCCCTCTAGCCTACAGAGCCTTCTGCTTATGGGATAGGGAGCCACCCAGCTGATTACTACTACAAGACTCACTCACATCTGGTCCCCAGTGCTACTTGGCACCAACTCTAACCTCAGAATTAAAGGATAACTCAGATCAAAGTGGGGGTGATAGAACAACAGAAAAGGGCACTTTTATATTCAAGGGATCTACCAGTGGGTAGGTTTTGCTTGTGCACAAAAGAAAGCCAACTTTTCCAGCAGAACTCCGAGAAGAAAACAAATGAGGTGGTGCTGGGTATGCAATGGCGTCTACTCTGTACAAAGTAAGCACAGTTCTAAGCTGATTGGTGTTAAAAAGATAGCATCTCCCATCCTGTCTCCCATTAGTGTGTTATTTACTGATTAGGCTGATCAGAAACATCTTAGGTTAAAAAAAATCTTAGGCTGTTGGAATGATTTCTATATTCAAACATAACAAGATGCCAGTGATATAGGTCCCTGAAAAAGGAGAGACACAATTACTTTGCAGTTAAATAATTTAACATCCTAGCTCAGTGTGTGAAGAAATCTGTAAATTTCCTATGAAAATTTTGTAGCCTGTGTTTCAAAGTCAAATGAAAAATATATCTTCCAGAATTTGCTTCTCCTCCAGGTCTTCAGGGGTCCTGCAGGCCCCCATCTTCTTCCAGGTTGATTTCTGAGGACTAAGTCGGAAAGTGCTGTGATTCCATGTCCCAGCTTCTCTGGAGGGATGAGGGTGAGGTTTGGAGGCAGAGTGTGGGCTTAGAGAATGAACCAAATCCAACAGAGATGTCTCGTACCTGTGAGACACAAAACCCAGACATAAACAGATCAGGCTATCAGAACATTAGAAACCAAGAAGCCAGTTATGGGCTGCCCAGCCAGGGTGAGAGTGAGGTCACAGATCACATCATGTGCTATAAGAAGCCTCCTTGGGGTGACTTTCTGGAAGGAACACACAGAACAACTTCAAAAACAAGGTCCCAAACTGTCAGCTCCTCTCTTCTGTTGATCTCTAACACTCCTTCCTAACTTATGAAGAGAGCAGGAAAGACAAGCATGATACAGTAATAGCAGTATCTATTACTGCTTAGTAGGTCCAGGGGGATAGTGGCTCCATCACCTGATATATATGGATTCTTTATCATTCTGACTGGGCAGAGAAGGAATGAAGGACAATACACAGATTTTTCCATAGCCTCAAAGTAATATGATACTTCTCATCATATCTGGTTGCCCAGGATCAGTTGTTCTCTCCCATAACAGAAAGGCAGTGGGTAATGGCAAACATCAGTAATGCCTACAAACTGAGCAATGCCTCTTCAAAAGTAATTTAGAATATTTTTTTTAATAGATGAAGAAACTGAGGCCCAGAAATGTATACATAAACTGGAGTCACTAAGCAAAGTCTTAGTTGAGGTTTACTTTTTGTTTTGGGGGCTGAGGGCTGAAGCCAAAGCTTTCAGCTTGCTAGGTAAGCATTATACCACTAAGCTAAATCCCCAGCCCTGACAGAGCAAAGTCTTCAATCTTTCCACCTAGACAAAGAAGAGGTATAGCTAAATGAGAAGTAAAAGAAAGAATGGCTGTAGTTTCCAACTATGCTTTATTTAAAAAGTATACTATGATTACTGCTTAGTAGGTCCAGGGGGATACAACTAAATATAGTCTTGTAACCAGACTATTTTTCCAAAATATTAATTTACTTCAAAAAATGTGTTTCTCTTTATAGTCCTGCTGTTATTACAAAAATTCTTTTTTTCTAGGAGTAACATTCAGTTATAGATGATACTATGGGAGGAGATAAGATCTGTGCTAGGCAGTGCTCAGAATTCAGATGCACCTCATAGCTTACTTTGTTCAACAAGTGTATGGAAAGTACTTTTGGCATCAGAAAAAAAAAATAACTTGGAGGTAACAAATACCTAAGATTATTTTTAAAAGCAGAGCTTGAAAAAAAAATCACCCTATCTATTATAAGAATGATAAATGCCATAAAGTAAAATACAAATGAATTCTTGTGGGACTTTGCACCAATCACCAGAATTAAACAGTGTTATTGTTAGATTGCATTCTGTGAGCAGTATGTTTTAGTTTGGTGAGGTGACATCTGACAGGAAACTGTAAGGTTAATCAACTTGGTCTGACCCTTTTGAAGCTCTCTGGTATTTGAATAATTTAAAGTGACACTTTACTTATCAAAATACCGTAAGATACCATCTTGTAAAATACCTGCTGTGTTTTACCCATAGGCATTAAATATGTTGCCTCTACTTTATAGAATTGTTACTCAAAAGAGTTTCCTAGGCACAGAGACTGACTTCAATAGCTTCATTAAGGACAAATGATAAGTAAAAGGCTTATTTGGTCTACTCTGCTGGGCCCATCCTGCACTGGGCTGAAGTATTATTAATTCTGTCTTCTTAGAGCTCTCTTTCCAGTTTTGTTCACCTCTGAGCTAGCAAGATACTGAGAGAAAACACAAAAGAAGATGGAACCTCTGCTCATTTGATTTGGCTCCATGTTCCAGTTCAAAGAAGGGCCAGTCTTACCTGACTAAATGTATAGGTACATTATAAATCTTGCTGAGTTTCAGTCACATCCAACTGCTGCCTATACTCAGATGTGTACCAGATGTTCCATCATATTTTGCTTATTTTCTCTATCCATTAATATTTTTGTTTAAATGTCATCTCCTCAAACAATGCTTTCTTTAGCCACTGTATACAAGTTAAGCATCACTCCACAGACACTTCACTCGTATTTCAGTTTCCTCATGTCACTCAATAGTACTTAAAATATGATATATATCTTCCTCAGTAGTCTGGTAGGGTCACTATGTTTACTGTTATTATTTCTAGTGGCAAAGAATAGTATCTGGTACAAGGCAGGTGCTAGATATTTCTTAAAGAAATGAATGGTCTCAAGGCTTAAGTTTTGGCACCTTGTTCCAGAGGCAACTTTAAAATCTTTGAAACATGAAAAATATTACTCATCCACAGAATCTTCTTTCACAAAAAGGATACTATATATAGTTTATGTAAATTATATTTTAATACATTGGGAGCAATTTTCCATAATAATATTCTATATTACTTTAATGACTTCAGATTTCTTCATTTGCTGGATATACTTAAAGATATTTAATCAACTGTGCATTGAAAACCACTTAGCTTAGGCACAAAAGTCTTTGAGACTAAATCTACTAATCTTATTCCGTCAGCCAAAGCCCAACAGGCTCTTTCCATCTCTGTCATAGGTTAACAACACTGTCACCTTCATTATGTTCTTTATTTATTTACTTTTATTTTCAACCCCTCCTCTCACCTTCAATGCTTCTGGATCTTTTGTTTCATTGAAGGTGGATCTTCTCTCACCTTCAATGCTTCTGGATCCCTACTATATTTTATATTCTTCATAGAGTAATTCTCTCTCCTAGTTTTAGAGAAATTGGACTCTTCCTGAGGTTAGTGGTTCTCTTACATCTTTTCTGAGTGGAAAATATTTATAGTTAACATACCCCATGCATTTCTGGGTCAAGAGTTAGTATTGGAATCCTCCTTGGCTTTTCAACACTATTTCCTGGGCTTCTTATAACTCTTATTCTCCTGGGGACACTGTTGTTTGCTCTACTACCCTCAACTTCTCTTCCTCTGTTTATAGACTCTCTTTCTTTTATTTTCTTTTCTTTCTTTCTTTTCTTTTTTCTTTTTTTTTTTTTTTTTTTCTTTTCTTTTCTTTTATTTTCTTTTCTTTCTTTCTTTTCTTTTTTCTTTTTTTTTTTTTTTTGCAGAACCGGGGATTGAACTCAGATCCTTGCGTTTGCCGGTCAACCGCGTATCCTACTGAGCCATCTCCCCAGCCCCTATAGACTCACTTTCAACTACTTCTACTCAGCAACTTTTACCATCATCTTCAACCAATACTCTGACTTTTTAGTTCTTCAACCTACTCTTAATTCTAAAAAGTTTCTCAGAAAAAAAAGTTTCTTAGGAAGACTTTTTCATAATCATATTCTAGAACTCATCATCAATGAACATAGTATCTATTCTGAATTCAGTAATTCAAAATCTAACAATTTCTTAATGCTCATATTTACCTTTCAGCCTTGGTTTTTCAACCACTCCCACTATCCTGTCCATTGACTCATCCCACCATTAATTCAGTTATTGTTTTAAAAACTGGGAGTGTAGTAGTGGTAAACTTTTCCTCCTGGGACATAATGCCTTCTCTTTATCCCTTATCCAACTACTTTTTTTTTTTTTTTTTTTCTGGAACCAGGGATTGAACTCAGGCCCTTGAGCTTGCCAGGCAAGTGCTTATTCTACTGAGCCATCTCCCTGGCCCCATATCCAACTACTTTTGTCTAGTGGACATTGGGCTGTTTCTTTTTTGGTTATCTATATAGAGCTATTATGGACATTATGACATTCATATACAAGTTTTAATATGAAGACGTGTTTTAAATTCTGTTGGAATCTGGGACGATACCTAAGGATAGGATTCTGGGCCACATTATAACTGTTTAAACTTATAAGGAATTGCTAGACTGTTTTCTAAATGTCCATGCCATTTTACAGCATAATCAGCACTGTGAAAAGGACAGTAATGTAGAGGCCTTTTTCTTTTTTCTTTTTCCATAATTTTATTGAGAAATAAATAGCAATGAGACAGTTTCAAATCAAATTGGTAGGACAGTTTGTAGAGGTCTTTTTCTAAGATCATTACACTTCTTTGGAGCAGATTCTTTAAATATCCTGGATGGCAGGGAGACATGGTATAACTCTTGAACAGGGAAAGAAAGGAACTGTTTTCCACTTGCAGATTAAGAATTAATCATTTTCAGTGTTTTCTGTCTCATTTTACTTTTCAAATGAATGACATCCTGAGTCCTTCCTTTTTGGTTGAATCTCTCCTGGGAATTAAAAGTTCCTCATGAGACTAGCATAGGCAAGAGTACTGTGCTTTGAACACCCACTTCATTCCATTTTCAGTTCCAACCTCCATCTTCACTTTCCAATATTCATATTGCCCCTAAGTCCTAATTAGTAATATACCTGATATTTAAATTTCTACAATACACTCTTCATTTATAGAGCATTATTCTCTATATATACTAATAGGTTTTTTATGATTTCATCATATAGTTAGAAAATCTATATAATATTCTTTTTTTTTTAAATTTATTTATTTATTTATTTATTTTTGTGTGTGTCCAGCTCAGCCCACCAGGGGGCGGTGCTGGCTGGCATGTGGTGCTGGAGGATTGAACCATGGTCCAGGTGTTTTGCTAAGCTTGTTCTAAGTAGGTGCTTTAGACCACTGAGCCATCTCACCAGCCCCTATATAATATTCTTAACTAGTCCTCATAGTTTTTTCAATATCCTTAAAATATTATTTTTAGCTAAGAAGAATAGATTTATAAAGAAGGTAGAAGGATAAGTAATTATTAAATGGCCAGGAGTCCTAAAAATCTTCTTTTTTTTTTGGTATTGGGGATCAAATCTAAGACTGCACTTTCCAGGCAGCCTAAAATCAGTTTTAAAAAGTTCTTTATTTGCTAAAGCAAAAATAGCCTGGCATTCAGGTTTCTACAGCATTTATAGAATACCCAACACATTCCATAGGCTGTTCACACTGATTTGCCAAACCTAAGCAGAAGAGGTTAGTAAGCATAAAAGATGGGTTTGAATGTGCCTGTGGGAGCGCAACCTCATGAGAGAACTACTCAAAAACCACGTATGTGCAAACACACAGGACTGATAGTATGATTCAGCACCTTATCTTCTGAATGTTCTCC